ATAATTAAGTCAAAAAATATTCAATATTGGGCTTATTTCGAAGGTATTGACGTGACGATTATAATGGTGTAACTTGTTAAAATTAAAACGTATTTTTTAAACGTATTTTAATTGATATACGATTATGTATGTTAATTTGATCAGGGTATAAAATGAAAATTTTAAAAGGAAAAGGTATAAAGTAAATTAATTAACTAATTATAAGAGTATAAATTGTAAATTTAAATTTTTTATATTAAAACCGTGTGAGTGTGTGAGTGTGATGTTGATGTGAGTATGAAAAAATTTGTGAGGTGGGGGACAAAGGTGCAGGGGGTAGAAAGGTGGTGCAGGGGGGTAGCAATATCAACCCCTAATTTAAACATTAAATTTTATAATTACATAAATTACAATTAATCAATATATAAAATTACATATAATAATATATCACGCATAATTAATAAAATAACACAAATAAAATTACATGTTTATTCGTCTAAAAGTTGACGGATTTTTTTATCGTACAATTTTCGTTGTTGGTCTGTCATAGTTGAAGAATCCATTTCCATCAATCTGATTGCCAATTCTTCGTTTTTAAGTTGATCTTTCATCTTCTCCCGTTCTTCTTTCTTTCTCTCTCGTTCCTCTTTCTTTCTCTCGTTCTTTTATAGCTTCCGTATATTTGTTCATTGCTTCTATTTTTTCAGCATCAAAATTAAATTGTTCTTTCATCACCTCTTCGATACGGTCGATAGAGTTAGTTAATATAGATTTTTGTTTACCTTTATCCTTTGAAGCTTTCCTTCCCATTGGACGAGCAGTCGACGTTAGCTCGGGGGTCGACGTGTTTGTATTTGAGGATGATGAGGTATATTGGCCCGAGCCATCATTTTTTGTCCTCTTTGACCCCCTATCTTCTACTAGATCAACAACCTCCAGAGGTCTTTCTCGTTGACTGATCCATTTTTCTTGATCACGCAATTCAACCCAAGCATGCAAGAAGTTGAATTTTCCACCTTCTAACGAGCTATATAACTCTAAAGCCCTTTTTTTTGTCTTCTTCATTCAGCCCACTTTCACGTCGGTGTAGGATCTGTTCATAACAACCAACAAACTTTGAAACGGCATGATTTATTCGACTCCAACGATTTTGAAGTGTTTGACGATTCCTACTAGTTTGAGATATCGTGTCACGATTCACATCGTAATATTCAAGTATACGCTGCCAAAAATTTATCTTACTTTGACCAGTACCAACTGTTGCATCTTTGCCTATGTTGAGCCAAGCACTACACAACAATATGTCATCTTTGGTTGTCCATCGGTTTTTTTCATTTTTAGGACCGCTTGCTTGCTCCGGCACGAGATTTGGTTGTGAAGAAAATTCTGGAAATTGAGAAGGAGGAGTAGTAGGATTTGGGTAAAATGGCATTTGAAAATTTAGTGGATAGTTAGGATTAGGATACATTGGAGTAGGAGGATTTATGTTTTGTGCATCATCATTTGGATTATGGGATGAAGGTTGGGAAAAATTGAAAAATGGGTTGAACTGGGGCTTTGATGGATCCATTAGAAGTAGAAAATGCAGAGATATTGAAGATTATGAGAGTGAATATGATGGTGTATTTTGAAACACCGAGCCCACACTATATATAAGCGTAATGGTAACCGAAGTCAAGGGGTGAACAGTAGCCGAAGTCACGGGTGAACAGTAGCGAAAGTCACGGGTGAACAGTAGCGAAAGGCACGAGATGAACAATAGCCGAAGTCACGGGTGAACAGTAGTCGCTAAGAGTCACGGGGTGAACAGTAGTCGCTAAGAATTTGATATAAATACAATTATACGTGACCTTATTAACCATAACACTTTAGTTTTTTAAAATGTCTGAGTCTGAGAGTGAGTATTCTTCATCTTCTTC